GCTCCACAGAAGCCAGGAGGAAGGCAAGCCCATAGGACCAAGAAAGGAGGCCCTTATTTTATTCTTGTTTCTCTAGCACCCTCTACTGACAAATCCTAACATGATGGCTCACAAAGAAGAAAGAAGTGTAGCTCAGATATATCCACAATTGGGGCCAAGATGGGTGGATATGCAGCTCCAAGCAACTAATTGATGAGCAGCATGTATATCTACTTTGAAAGTGGAATTGAGTGTCCTGATGGTCATCACCTAGTTCAATGAGAGCCTTACCAAAATGAAAGATGGAGAAACAAGGAATATGCTTCCCTGCCCTATCTACATGCTTGAGCTGAGCATTTCAGCTCGTCTTCTCCTGCATCCAACTGAGATTTATGTCCTGAGTTTCCCTAGTTCTCAGACTCAGGTTCAGGTTGCATTACACCATCCATCAGCTTTGCTGGGTTTCTAGCTAGCAGAAGGTAAATCCCGGAGCCTTTTCATCCTCCATAGGCTAGTGAGCCAATCCCTCATAATTAGGAGAGAGAACATGAAAACACTCGCAGAGAGTTTGGCTTCTAGAGGCCATCTCTGAAGAATTGAATATAACATCCAGTCTTTTCAGTCTTCTCTCTCATGTTTGATTAATATGCTTCATGACACGACAAATAGAAATACTTATCATTTGTTTGTTTGAGACAATTTCCCAACATGTAGCCCAGAAACTCACAATATAGCATAGGCTACAGGAGTCTCCTGTATCAGCCTGATTAGTACTGAGATTATAGGCATGTAATGCTGCATCCAGCTTTTTTGTTGTGTTCCAGTCCTAGGGGGAGAGGGTGCTGTCTCTGAGCTTTTTTTGCTCAAGGCTAGCACTCTACCACTTGAGCCATGGGTCCATTTCTTGCTTTTTGCTGGTTAACTGGAGATAAGAATCTGAGACTTTCCTGCCTGGAGTGGCTTTGAACTATGGTCCTCAGATCTCAGGCTCCTGAGTAGCAAGGTTTATAGGATTGAGTCATCAGCTTCTGACTTGTTTATCATTTTTATAGGGAATACTGAATTAAGAAATAATCAAAATAGTTAGAAATGTTCTTCTATGAGTTTAGTCAGCAAACATTTTATAAGAATGTACTGGGAGGGGCAGGGAAGGTGGCTCAGTGGTTGAGCGCTTCCCTTGCATGCATGAGGCCCTGGGTTCGATGCCTCAGCACCACATAAGCAAAAAGCAAGAAGCCGGTATTGGCGCTGTGGCTCAAGTGGTAGAGCGCTAGCCTTAAGCTGAAGAGCTGACGGACAGTGCCCAGGCCCAGAGTTCAAGCCCCACGACCGGACCCAAAAAAAAAAAATAAAATATATAGCTTAGTAGTAGACCTGTGCTTAAGCGCACCTGAGACCCTTGTTCAATCCACAGCAGAAAACAAAACAAATGAAAAAAAAAAAAAAAGAATGTACTGCGACCTACACAATGTCCAGGCAACAGAGATACAATGTAAAATATCAGCACTAATGAAACCATCGTTATTTAGAGCTTAATTTTTTGGATCTTGCCCCTTTGGTTGAGAGCTATTGCTTGTAATAATTATCTTCCTCATCTTCTTCTTTCTTCTCCTCTTTCTCTTCCTCCTTCTCCTCCTTCTCCTCTTCCTTTGCCTTCTTCTTTTATTGTGGGAAGCGGTAAGAGGATTGGTGCTGATGGCCTGCCAGGCTACTTCTTCATAGTCCTGGGGGTGAGGTCTAGTCTGGGTTTTAGAATGTGGTGTTTGAGGATTCCCTTTGGTCTCAGGAAACGAAAAGAAAAGAACTACTCAGCAACCTGCTTTTCAAAGATGAGTGCCAATGTGGCCCTTTCTCACATTTTGAAATCTCCATTTATGGGAAAGAATATCAAGGTCTACTCTCAGAGAACAGCATGAGTTGTTTATGCACAAGTTACAGAGTCCTGCCAAACCTACAGCCAATGACCCAATCAATTATATTTTTTTCTGGAAGGGTTGAGGAATTTATGGTAACTCCAGGCTGGGCCTAATGTGTCCAGTCCTGCTGTCTGAGCTGGGGAATGCCTCAACGAACTGCAATCTATCTGTGTTTATTCTCCTGCAGGGCTGGACTTAGTGCTATCCATACAGCCCACATGTCTCTTTAACATGGAGTCCTTTAAAAAATCCTCAAACAACTCAGTGTCATTTCTAGTCATCTGTGTATTTTTTTAAGAGTGAGAAGAGTCAGGCGCTGGTGGCCCACACCTAGAATCCTAGCTACTCGGGAGGCTGAGATCTGAGGATTGCGGTTCAAAGCCAGCCTAGGCAGGAAAGTACATGAGACTCTTATCTCCAATAAACCACTCAGAAAGTTGGAAGTGGCACTGTGGCTCAAGTGGTAGAATACTAGCCTTGAGCTGAAGAGCTGAGGGACGGTGCCCAGGACCAGAGTTTAAATCCCAGGACCACCAAAAGAAAAAAGAAAAGAAAAAGGTTGCCACTATTAATATTTAAACTGGACAGTGAGCACCCACAGAGACTGTGTTTTGCAAAGCAGGTTGCATGATTTCTCATAGGAGGCTTTTGGGAAAATCCCTCAATGTCCGTGGACTCTGATCTCTCATCTGTGGACCCTGATCTCTCATTTTTTGGGAAAAAAGTAATAAAGAAAGCAAGTATTCAGTGCTGGGAAAAAGAAGCTATTGAAGATTTTTTTTTCCTAGAAAAAAAATTGCACTTGCTGATTTTCTAACAGTTCTATCCAAAAGGAGAATGACCTAGGTGAGTAAAACAGGGAGCCCCTTGCCAGCATTGAACAGTTAAATAATGATGACAGGATGTAATCACTGGCCCAGGATTTCTGTCCCAAGGAAAGTATGCCTTCATATGCCTTCCTCCAGGAAGTATTTCCCTCGAGCACACCCACGCCCTGTGGCTGTGGATATCTAACCGCACTCCTCTCTCCCATCCCTTGCTCCCCGTTTACTCCTAGGGCAAGTGAGCCAGGCAAAAGCCTACTCAGGTCACAGCAGTCTCGCCTTTCCTAAGGGATAGAAGTTGCATAGTGAATATTCCAATGTGGCTTGGCCCTATTGCGGGTCAGGACGAAGGAAAAGTCTTTTGACAGCTCTTTGCCTCATAACTTTCATCACATTGTGCCTAAAAGAATTAACATAAGGTCTAGGCTCAGAAAGGGGGCATCACTGCTAAGTTTAGCAGGCCCTAACCTAAATCAAGACGCCTCGTGCATGGTGTCAGTCCTTGCCCAATTTATTTTATCCTGTGTCCATGCTCCTTTTTCTACTATCCTGCTCATAATTCTTCTAGTCCTGCAAGGAAAAATAAAGGAAAGTCTTCATTTCTTCTTTCTTTTTTTTGGTGAAAGGGGAGGGGGATTTAGCTTGTTGGCTGGCTCTCTACTTGAGCCACACCTATAACCCCAAAAGCCAAAAGTCCTTCATTCTTGCTCTTCACTGGGTTGCTAATGAAAGTGCAAGTTCCCCCCTCCCAGCACTGTCCTGCCAGCCATGAATCCCATCTTCCTTTATTTCTACTAACATCAACTTGTTTGCTGCCGTCTTGGAGCAAATCTTCAATATAATGCTCACATTCTTCTACTTCTAACAACATCCAGGCACGCCCCCTTCCTCCCCCCCCCCCCCCCCGCCTCACCTTGCCCCCCAAATACTGATGTATTACTCCTGGGCTGGCCCTTATTTGTCCTACTGCTTCCCTCAACCCAGGGTCCCATTGTGGCAAAACAAAAAACAAAATTAAAAAATATACACTAGACCTGGGCCTCTAGATTCCCTTGTCACCATGCCACATCACACGTTATAGAATTCCTTTAGGTTTACGTTTTCCTTTTGAAATGAGGCCAAGATGGGGCAGGTGAGTGAACTACAGACTCCAGCCTTCTGATAGCTCTACATGACATTTTCTCCCAAAATAATGTTAGCAAACTTACATGGAAGAGCACAATGTTGTTTTTCTGGCCACAGAAACAAACACCTTCTCAACATTCTTCGGCTGCAGCCCAGCACTCTGCTTTGTTCCTAAACCTACTGCTCTGGTAAATGAGCATCCAGTGTTCAGCTTCCTGCATGTTTTTTTTCATGTGTTATTTGTATCTAATCTTGCAGCCAATTTCTATACTATGACCCAACATTCCAGAATGATAGTATCCTCCATGAGAGTCCAGAGGAGTCCTTTTCCTAGTGTTAAGACTATCTACATGGATACTAGCAGCCTTTTCCCCCTGTGTTCTGCCTTCTATTCCTATTCCTGTACCCTAAGGTTCCAGCTTTGTTCTGAACTGACATTTACTTAGAGTTAGTTCAGCTGTTTCATTTGCACTGTATTCTCACTCTTGCTGGTATTATACCACTTGAGCCATGCCTCCAGTTGCTGTACTATGATATTCTTTTTCCTTTTTTCTTTTCTTTTATTGTAAGGTGATGTACAGAGGGGTTACAGTTGTATAAGTGTACTATGACATTCTTCACACAATTAACTCATTTTTGTTGTTGTTGGTTGTGGGGCTTGAACTCAGGGCCTGGACGCTGTCCCTGAGCTCTTTTGCTCAAGGCTAGCACTCTACCACTTTAAGCCACAGAACCACTTTATGGTTTTCTGGTGGTTAAGTGGAGATAAGAGTCTTACAGATTTTCCTGCACGGGGCTAGCCTTGAACTGCAAGTCTCAGATCTCAGCCTCCAGAGTACTAGGATTGCAGACTTGAGCCACCAGCACCCAGCTCACAATCAATTCTTGTTTTCCAATATTGGTTACCCTTCACAGCAAACTGTCAATATATTATTGTGTGTGCATTATTGCATGCTAATTATTTCCAGTCAAGAGTGAGACTGGAAACAGGCAGAAAGCCTCCACTTGCTACAGTACAGGAAGTTATCAAATGATGCAATCTGGGAAAATTAGAGCTGTGTAAAGAAAAAAAATCAATGTTCTGGATGCTATTTAAGAGGGATTGTGCAAAAAGCAAAAAAGGTGTGCTTTGTTTGCAAAGCATCAGTATATATAGCACCAACCCAGTCTCCCCATCAAGCAGCCCGGGTATCTCTGGTTCACCTAGAACCTCAGCAGGAGCAAATAACCGAGGTGAGGTGCTAGAATTTTTGTCCTTTGGGAATTTTCTCTTCCATACTACATTCTTGTGCTGTATCCCTGCTCACTCTCTCTGCATCCTTCCTGAATCTATCTGGACGTTGTTGCTTCTGTGTGAATTCTGGGATGGATAGGGTTGACATTCTGCAAATATTTATTGAGTATTTAACTTATTTTATATTGAGAGGTATGTTGGTTACAAAATTCTCAAATGAATATTTGGAAATTTCATATACTATTGAGTTTCAGGAATGATAAGGGATGATTGAAATGCAAAGTAACCAGACAGCAGTGGCTCATGTCTATAATCCTAGTTACTTAGGAGGCTGAGATCTGAGGGATAGAGGTTCATAGCCAGCCCAGGCAGAAAAGTCCATGAGACTCCAAATTCCAGCAAAAATTCTGTGCTAGAGGCATGGCTCAGATGGAAGAACACCAGCCATGAGTGAAAAGCTGAACAAGTACATAAAGCCCTGGAGTTCAGGCCTTAAGACTAGCAAAAGAAAAGAAAAAAAGGAAATGCAAAATAGCTTACGTTAATAGTTGGCTGCAATCACCAGATACTGAGATTCAATTACAACTAGAGAATTAAATGCTCTGAAATCTGTTGATTATCTGCTAATGAATACATGTGAGTATGTTTCTATGCAAAATTGATTAAGATACAAGGACAGGTCAATATTACAGAAAACAAAACCCCCAAACAAAAGATATTTAAATGATACTTATGTTGTGTTTCCTTGATGCTATATCAGGATGAAGCTGTCCATTGGAATCATTCTCTGCTTCCTTTTCCTGGGAGATCAGAGCGAGGGATTTTTATCATTCATCAAGGAAGCTGGTCAAGGTAAGGAAAAAAAGACGGGCAGAAGGTTGCTTGCAGGTCCTAAGAATCTATCTGAGCACGGAGACCACATCTACACTGGCTAAAAGGATCAGTGAAGCCATCAATGCATAAAGGAGCATTATTTTTTGAACATTACTTCCCTGTGTTTTGTCTTGCCAGCTTTGAAACTTTTCTTTGAGGACTCTAAGGCCTGAGACCATGTAAGTCTGGGACAGAAACTTCCATCACAAGCATGGGAGATAGCTGAAATTCAGGGATTTCTACTTCTTCTAGTAAGCATCTAGGGACAACTCATTTCTGTTTGCTAGCAGTGAAGCTGCTGCATCAAGTGTGTGAAGTGTTGGCAGGGAGACTGAGCAGAACCTATGCAGCACCCAACCCCCAGGAGTAACAACCAAGGACACCTGAGCTTTAAATATATTTTAGGCTCTGTTCTAAAAGCATGGTAGGAACACAATAATGAGTTTTTAATGCCCTAATCATGTGATGTAGGTACCATTGTTATAGAGAAGCTGACTCACTAAAAGCTGAAGATATTTAGCAGAGTCCCCAAAGAAGAGCAGAGCTGAACCCACGTAGACTTGTTTCTCAGATTTTACTGTACTATTTCCAAACCTAGAGTATGAGCTTTGTGAACACAGATCTCATTTTTTTTTTAAATCTGAGAAATGGGAAGTAGTGGTATGGCATGCTTTAGAAGGCATCTCCAGTGCTGCTTTCTACAGTAAGACAGAATGAATTATCTTGCTGACAGTTCTGTAGAGGCTGTGACACAGCTAGGAAACTAACACCAATTAAGACCCTGTTAACCATATGGCAGGATTTAGTTTTCAAATTGTTTATTTTTTACTTATTTATTTGGAGTATAGGTTTTTGAACTTAGACCCCAAGGCCTACTTGCTAGATCGGCAATCTACCACTTGAACCAGAACCAGACCCCCCAAAAAAACAAAAACAAAAACTATGGATCTCAATACCAGAAACAATAACTCAATAAAATGAAGATAAGTTATTTCAGAGATGAATTATATTTATAAGCCATGTTTATAACATGGTTAGATTATCTACTTTTCATAATTTTAAAGATACTTTCTATTTAATTCTATTTTTTTTTTGGGGGGGGGGTCTGGTCATGGGGCCTGAACTCTGGGCCTGGGCGCTGTCCCTCAGCTCTTCAGTTCAAGGTGAGCGCTCTACCACTTGAGCCACAGCACCACTTCCGGCTTTTTTCTTTTTGCTTATGTGGTGCTGAGGAATCGAACCCAGGGCCTCATGCATGCAAGGCAAGCACTCTACCATTGAGCCACCTTCCCCGCCCCTATTTAATTCTAATATGATCAGATTCCATCTGTCAATAGGTCCCACTGATCTTAGTTTTATCCTTTTTTTTCTTTTTTTCTGCCACCTTTCCTAAAGACCAGAGATGTGAAAATACACTGAGTACCCACCAAAGTCTACAAATTATATTTGTCTTTCTTGGGTCTTCTGCATCACCCCTGAGGCATTACCATTTTATCAAGGAGGAAAAACTAAAGTTTTGAATTTAGTGGTCAGTTGTCCATTTTTCTACGTCACATTATCCTGTTTATTTACTTGTGTCTCAGGGAGATTCTGATGATTGACCAAGTTCATGTGTACCCTGGATACTCAGAAACACCCAGGACAGAGCTGTTCTCATTCGTCCCCCAAGGATGAAATTCTTCATTGACTACATTCGATTCCTAGTCAATTTTTCATTGGCTCAGATTCTACAGCCTCCCTCAGAAATCCCATGTTTTTACCCTTTGGCCAGAGATTTCTTGACTCTTTCTAAATAAAATGTATGTACCACATACAGTCCACAAAATAGCAATAAAACTACTAATGAGGCCGGGCGCTGGTGGCTCACGCCTGTAATCCTAGCTACTCAGGAGGCTGAGATCTGAGGATCACGGTTCAAAGCCAGCCCGGGCAGGAGAGACCGTGAGACTCCTATCTCCAATAAACCACCAGAAAACCGGAAGTGGCGCTGTAGCTCAAGTGGTAGAGCGCTTGCCTTGAGCTGAAGAGCTGAGGGACAGCGCCCAGGCCCAGAGTTCAAGCCCCACGACCGACAAAAAAAAAAAAAAAAAAAAAAAAAAAAAAAACTACTAATGAGATCAGATAGAATAAAACTTATGCCAAGTGTGATTGTCCACTGCATTGACCAGACATGTAAAAGGTAAATGAATATTTATTTTGAGCCAATACAAAGGCTTTTTCAAAGACTGAAATCTTTGGGATTGGAGGAAAATTTCTATTTCCTCTGTTTTGTCAAGACATGATCATCTTCATCATTTTCTTTCTTTTCCAGGGACTAGAGACATGTGGCGAGCTTACTCTGACATGAAAGAAGCCAACTGGATAGGGGCAGATAAATACTTCCACGCCCGGGGAAACTATGATGCAGCCCAAAGAGGACCTGGGGGCGTCTGGGCTGCTAAAGTGATCAGGTAAGGCAGATTCTGGGCGTGGAGGGCCTGGGTGAGTAAATCTTGACTACTTTGGACAGTTAGGAAGGGGAAGTCTCTCAGTCTCTGGTCTACATAGATGTTTCCCATAGAGAATGAAGTCCCCTCCTCTTGCCCAGTCTCCCTGGAGTTGGAGTGTTTGGTAGCAATGAATCATCTCTCCCCACCCACTTCCCATCTGCTGCCTCTGTACTGCTTCCCCAGGCAGGGGTGAATAGCCTGGGCCAGTATCTCAACCCCCTCTTTCTTTGGCCTTTCTGGATTCCTCTTGATTCCTCTAACATTCCTTGCAAAGAGATTGGACCAAGTGGGGTTATGGCTTCTCACCCTGGTGATTAATCTCTTTTCTGTCTGCCCTGATTGCAGTGATGCCAGAGAGAATTTTCAGAGATTGACAGGCCGTGGAGCAGAGGATTGGAGGGCTGACCAATTTGCCAATGAATGGGGCCGGAGTGGCAAGGACCCCAATCACTTCAGACCTGATGGCTTGCCCAGTAAATACTGAGTATTCTACTCATTGGGTTCTGAGTGCAGGGATAATGGTGAACTAAATTCCCTATCTGTAGTGGCTTAATAAATATTTGTGGACTCTAAATGCTTGTGGAATTCAATTTATCATTATAATCTAGATTGATCATATGACAGTCTTCTTGGGAACATAGGCTATGAGGATAATTAATAAACACAGTCTTTGTTTTCTTTCTTTTCTTTTCCCTTTTTTTTTTTTTTTTTTGGGTCCAGTCATGGGCCTGAACTCTGGGCCTGGGCGCTGTCCCTCAGCTCTTCAGCTCAAGGCTAGTGCTCTACCACTTGAGCCACAATGCCACTTCCGGCTTTTTTTTCTGCTTATGTGGTGCTGAGGAATCGAACCCAGGGCCTCATGCATGCAAGGCAAGTGCTCTACCACTGAGCCACCTTCCCAGCCCCTTTGTTTTCTTTTTTAAAGAGGTAAGACATTAATAAGAAAAATAAGAATTGGGGATAAAACCGTGTACATACATGGACCATAACACAAATGAACATCAATCTACATTATGTATACCATAAACTAGAAAAGATAGTAAGAGAATCTTCTGGGCAATTTCAGCAATGAAATGTAAAACCTGATATAAATGAACAAATTCTCAGAAGAATGTAATTTCAACATTAGTCTATAATTATCTTAAAACTTTGGATCTTTCCACACACACACACACAAAATAGTAGACCTAGCTGATAAATTTAATCCCAGAAAAGGCAAAATCATTCCCATTTTGTTCAAACAACTTCATATATTAGAAGGAAAATATTCTCCAACTCTTTCTTTTAAGGAAGGAGAATTTTGACAAAAAAAAAAAAGGGTAGAAAAATATCTAAGAGCAAAAGTCCTCTGAGTTACCAGGTATTGACCTCATCAGTGACTTTCATGATCAAAGGGTAGCCTGAAGTTATGTCTCTTACATAATCCAGAAGGTTCTGTCATCTTAAAGGAGAAGGTTTTCAGATACTCAAAGTTTCTTTCCCAAATTGTAGCTTCTCCCCTGGGTCTGCTGCCCACATAGCTCTGGTTATAGTACGTTGTCTCTAGTCTAAGCAGTCCAAGCCTCCTCCTGCCTGTTGGCTGGGTCCTTTGTCCTGTGTCTCCTAGGAATCTGGGTTTCTCACTTGTCTTTCTTCTTGCTGCAAAGGCCTGGTTCCTGGAAGAGTCTTTATTTCCTTTCACTCTCTTTCCTGAATCAAGTGTTAACCAGTCCCTATCCATGACACTAAGAAATACCTTTCAAAGCTATTTCCCTTCTCTCTTTCTCCAATGTGTGTTTCAGGCCAGAATAGAAAGTGACCTTCCTAGCACATCAGATCTGTAACAGTGAATTCCTACCAAGAACTGTGTTTGACCATCTTAAGAATCCATATCCATCCTTGTCAGTCAGCGGGAATGATGTGAGCCTGCTGGTTGATCTTCAAGTTCCTCTAACACTGATACAGAGAAATGTCACCAGAGAATAGAATGAGAATACCCAGAGAAAGAGAGGTTTTTCCTACTCAATTCCTCAGGATCTCCAGGGTCTACAAGATCTTGAAATCGATGATGAAAAGAGTTTCACAGACTTTCACAAAATAAGACCTACAAAGTAGAAGGCCAGCAAAGATTTAGTTGGCAATGTAGAACAAAGTAGAGAGAAATAGGGGGGAGCACCCTTTGTCATACAAAGGTTGAAAGTTAAGAGATTCAACAGGCTGTCCTTTTCCCAGAACTGGTTATACTTCAGAGGCTGTGGATTTCAGTTTAAACTTTCATTTATGTAAGTGGTTGCCTGGAGACCTTCAATCATTTGTCTAAGCTTTTGTTATAATCTTATAACTCAAAAAGACAATGGGTCTAAGGTGGCTTCACAGTAAAATGTCTTGTGAAAGAGATATCTGCATCTTATCAGTGATTATTTTTACCTCTTACTGAAAGACCAAATTATTCATCCAAGGAAATTGTATCTCATTTGATACTCGAACAATGGAATGCATGTATATAAAATTCTTGAATAGTTGATTCATCCAATTCCTTGCTATTCTAGTGATTTTCATCCTTAGTTTCTGGTTCTGTTTTACTTCCTGCCTCTGGATTCTTTTATAATGTATATATTATGATTTTGATGTCTCCTTCAGCCATATCTTACCAGGCCTCAGAATGACAATGATACTAGCTTCCATTGATGATGAGATGACTATGGACCAAACAATGCACTAAATGCTTTCTTGTATTATCCTCTCACTTCAATGATCCTTTTAGAGCTAGAGAAACTTAAGGTGGAAGCAAACATAATTAACATATTCAAGTTACAGTTTGATGCCTGAGCCACTTTATTTATTTATTTGAAGTATTGGAGATTGAACTCAGGATCTCCTGCCCTTTCAAGCTAGATTACAGGCTTGAGCTACTGTGCTCAGCTAGAGCCAACATTCTTAACTATTTGCTATGATTAGCAATGGAAGTTCCCAATTTATAAAGCATTTTTATGAGTTCTACGCCTCAATGTGGGACAGCACAGTGGAAGCCCTCACTATAGGAAGGTCTACTACTTGTCCAGGAAACTGCTCCTGGAGTAGCTGACCTTACAGACATTCTGGACAAGCTGTTTCTTAACTATCCTGTCTTCAGGTTCATCTACATTGAACTTGGGGAAGTTGCATTTCTTTTAAGTGTGAATCTCCTGGTAGCCAGGAAACTTGAACTTGGCTCTTGGTAGGGTCTTAGTCACATGCTCCTTATTTTGAATCTTGATGCAGGTAGCCATGATGACCTGGTATGAACCCTTGCCACCAAACCTTGGAGATTTCCAAAGACACCTTGCATGTCTGTTTGGGGGTCTGGATTAGAAACAATGTGAGTGTCCACTGGAATGTGCTGTCTCCAAGATCACTTAAGGAAGACCATATAAGCAACAGGCTGGACACTTTACCAACAAAGCAGTGTCTGACTGTCTCACACCAGGCTTCCATGGAGAATGGAGCCTGATGGTCTTAAGAGTCTGCAGCCATTGAGTTAACTGTGAACCAGGAGTTCATCCACTTTAATCTTCATAGAGACTTGTTACTGAGAGGGAGGATACGATTAGAGACAAAAGCTCAGTATGTAGTACTAAAGGCCACATATTTCTTTTTAAAGCAGTATCACTTTAGATGTAAGATCTTGTTTAATCCTTACACTAATCCTCTAGGGTAAGAAGAATGGTGGTTCTTGGATATTGGAGCTGGGTAATATGTAGACCAGAGCCAGATACCAATACTGACAGAGACAGAAAGATAAGTATTTCATTTCTGGGCATTAAGCATGCGTTTCAAGTGGAGTCAAAGGAGAATGGGCCCCTGACACAGTCCTGAGATGTTTCCTGAGGCGTTTAGTCCTCAGCACATCTATGTGACAGCTGTGTGTACTATGGCAGCTACCTGAAGTATGGTTTAGGGGGTGTTAGAGTTAGGGGCCTCCTATCCCTTTAATCTCATTTTATGTCGTATCACATAAATTTAAGAACTTAGGCTGGAGAGGTTTCCATCTGTGCTCACCAGGAAAAATGCAGGGCCATGGGTCTTTGTCATCCTTAAGTTCTCTCACTGCGACCCTCATGAGATGTGAATCATCTTTTTGTCCAGTGTACCCACACTGCATATACTACCACTACTTAGACACTCGGTATGCTTCCTTTGTTTTCAGATCCATTGTCTCAGGATAGCAAAGTTAATGTGCCAATAACTCTTATGTGGTGGTCTAATGTTGTGACACAATGTCTATGTCACACTTTATCTAATCTCACAGGCAGTGTATAATATCATATTATCATGAAAAGAAAAGCGGTAAGTAAAGTACAAGAAGATATTTTGAAAGGGGAGGGCATATGTATACAACTCTGTGCAGTAGATTGTTATAATATTCTATTTTATTAATAGCCATTATCAATCTCTTACTGTATTTAACATATAAATTAAACTTTATTAAAGGCATACATGTATAGAAAGGATACACACACCCACACACATTCACCCATACAAACAGGCTGATACTATCCACAAATTCATGTATTCTCTGAGAGTCTTGAGTAAGTGTGTCCCCAGTAAATAAGGGGAATTACTGTTAATTCTTTTCTTTTCTTTTCTTTTGGTTGTAGGTGTTGAACTCAGGGCCTGGGTTCTGTCCCTGAGCTCTTTTTCCCAAGATTAGTGCTCTACCAATTTGAGCCACAGCTCCACTTTTGGGGTTTTGGTGGTTACTTGGAGATAAGAGTCTCAGAAACTCTCCTGCCCCTGCCGTTTTTGAACTGTGATCCTCAGATCTCAGCCTCTGGAGTAGCTAGGATTACAGGCATGAGCCACCAGCTTCTTTTATTTGAATTAATTTTTTGTATCCTTCATTCATGTTAGGACATCTTATTGGCAATTTTGAAATTACATGTGGAAATCTATAAATTATTTTTCCCCCACAGACTATGTTGTGAAATATTTAAAAGGTCTGAGAGTAACACTGAAGTAATTAGAACCTTTACTGAAAATATATGAAGTTGAATACTGACATTCTTATTGATGATTTTGTCCTTCTCACTTTTCCAACCACACCTAAAAGAATTGAACTCAGGGGCCCCTGCTTTCTAGGCCAGCCTCTATCACTTGATCCACACACCTCAGTCCTTTTGCTTTTGCTATTCATTTGGGGGGTGGAGGGGTGCATCTCAGTGCTCATAGCCCAGGCCTGTCTCAGATTGTTACTGCTATCTATGCTTCCAGCGTAGCTGGGATTTCAGAGGTGCACCACCACCATACCAGGTTAGACAGATGTCTTTGAAGAATGGCGACGAGGTCAGATGTGGAGAAATCTACAGGCCTGAAGGCAAGTGCGATAGGGCTGATGGTTTCAGGACTTACCTCTGTAGGACGACCCAGCCACCTGCTCCTCCAATGAAAAGAAACAGGAATATCCGAACTTGATAAATAAGAACTATGAAACTGTAACCTCTCTGTACAGCATCTTTACAAGAGAAAATTTAAAAGAGCTTGCGCATGTCTGATCCTAGTCGAGTTAGTCGTCAGTGCCACAGGCCGGGCTCCTGGTAGTCGTCAGTGGCACAGGCCGGGCTCCTGACAGCAGGGGGCGCTGTGGCGAGCGCCACGCTCCGGCCCCTCTGGCTCCAGGCTTCCTCTCGCCTCCTCGGCAGCTTCCGGCGTGGCTCGCGCGCGCTGGTCATGGACCGCAACCCCTCGCCCCCACCCAGCCGCCCCGACGGGGAGGACGAGGAGGAGGAGGCCGGGGGAGACTGCATAGGGAGCACGGTCTACAGCAAGCACTGGCTGTTTGGTGTCCTCAGCGGGCTCATCCAGGTGTGGACAGTGGCGCGCGCTGGCTCTCCCTCCTTTCCCCGGTAGCCGGGCCCCGCCTCGGCCGCCCCTCGGAACCCTCCCACGGGACCTTCTCCAGACCCCCCAAGTTAGCCCCCTCCGGCCCTCCCCCGAGTCCTCCCTGCCGCCTCCCGCGCCCCCCCCCCGGGGCCCTGTCTCCCGGTCCTCCCCGGGGATCCCTTCCCGGGCCCTCCCGGGGCACTGCAGCGCGGTGGCGCTACCCTGGGCGCGTCAACACCAAGGGTTAAGTTGGAAGGCGGGGGTGCCGGGGCCGGCCGTTAGCCTACCCCGCACGGATGATCACGCAAGTCCTTTGTGGGGATTCTGATCCTCAGCCCCACTGGCAGACCCTGATTTGTTTATTTCATGGATTTGGGGTAGTGAAATAAATGGTGATTTTTGGAGATACACCGCGCTGATATCCAAGGCTACATTACTTTGGGCAACGCTTCGGTTTCTCCCGCCAAATACAATCGTGATAGCTATACTATAGTGGAGGCTTTTTGCACACATGAAGTACGTTACATAAAATGGTAATGATCACAGAATGCGTGGCGAGGTGTTTGGCCTTTGAAGAATCCTGCAGTAAATGTGAGTTTTCTTTCTCCACGTTTCGCTTCTTTTTCCTGCTTTAAATGTGTACTCTCCAATCTTTTTTTTTTTTTTTTTTTGAGTTGGTCCTGGGGCTTGAACTCAGAGCCTTGGGTGTTGTCCTTGAGTTTTTTTGTTGTTGTTGTTGTCCAACACAAATGCTGTACCACTTGAGCCACAGCTCCATTTCCAGAATTTTAGTAGTTAATTGGAGATAAGAATCTTACAGACTTTCCTGCCTTGGCTGGCTTTGAACTGCAACCCTCAGATTTCAGCCTTCTGAATAACTAGGATTACAGCTCTGATCCACTAGTGAGCTTCTTGCTCAGTTTTTTCACACACAACTAATGCTCTACTTAACCCAAAAGTGGTATTTTAAAGAAGTGTATTGAGTAGGTTACATGACTGCCAAGAAGGTTAACACATCAGGCTGAAGCTGGCATGGTGGACAAAGTGCTAATTTTTTAAAACAAGATTTTTGCCAAAGGATATACTTTGAGAATAGTCTCTTGTGATTTCTAAATGAAAAGGAGCTGTGAGGAACTAGGGACAGTTGTCATTCATCCTTTTTCCCCACTTTGTGTCACTAAAGATTGTTACACCAGAGAATGGGAAATCCAGCTCAGAAGATGAGGAGCAGCAGACAGAGCTTGATGAAGAAATGGAGAATGAAATTTGCAGAGTATGGGATATGTCCATGGATGAGGTATGGGACTAGAAGTGAAACTGAAAAGACTCATCTGGGGAGGGGTGGCAAATGGAGTTTTTCAAAGGTTTAATCTTTCACTCTCTGAGGAAAGGCTTTATATAGTATCTGTAGTCCCTTGAATATATGATTCAAGGGATGAAGTCCTAATATTGTTTTTTCAATAGATAATAATCTATGAATGCTAAGAATTCTGGAATTCTGTCTCTGAAGGTATGCACAGTTTCATCCTATGTACATCACAGAGTGTTCTTAAGAAAGCTGTAACATCACTAGGCAAGGTTTTTTGTTTTGTTTTTGGTATTACTGCTTAGGCAGGTGCTCTACAACCAGAACCACTCTGCAAGCCTTTCTTTGCTTATATTATTTTCAAAATAGGGTCTTCCTTTATGCCCAGTGTCCTCTGTGTTTCCCCACGTATCTGGTATTACAGGCACATGCTACCCTGCCTACCATTGTGCTTTTCCCCTAGTTTGGGACCATAGGTGCATGCCATTGATCAAGATGCAGTCTTGTGAACTGTCTTCTTTGTCCAGTCTGGCCTCAAACATTCCCTTATTCCTGCTCCTAAGCATCTGTTAAATAGAACAATGAGTCCTTTTTAAATTGTATTAGTAAGGGGAAAGGAGAGTAAGAGAGAGTAATGGGAAGATGGACTGGAATACATTGTATATACTCATGGAAATGTCACACTGAAATCCCCTTGTATAATGTATGCTAATTAAAAATGATTTAGGTAAATATATTTAGGTCAGAGTAAAAGGAGGATAATTCTTTGGCATATCATGGTTAGTTTGCGGAATTGTTTTATTATAGTAGATACCACAAAGATTCCCTTATAATTGTGTGTGTGTGTATGTGTGTCCCCGCGTGTGTGCGTGCGTGCGTGCACGCCAGTGTTAAGGCTTGAACTGCGGGTCTGGGTGTTATCCCTGACCTTTATGCTTAAGGCTAGTTCTCTAGCACTTGAGCTACAGCTCTACTTCCTGTGTGTGTGTGTGTGTGTGTGTGTGTGTGTGTGTGTGCGCGTGCGTGTGTGCGTGGGTGTAATTGGAGATGAGAGTTTCGTGTGTGTGTGTGTGTGTGTGTGTAATTGGAGATGAGAGTTTCATTCACTTTCCTGCCTGGGTGGCTTTGAACAATGGTCTAAAGATCTCAGCCTTCTGAGTAGCTAGGATTACAGGTATGAGCCAGTGGCACCCTGCTTTTTTGTCTTTTGACATAATTCCTAACTTGTGGGTAAAGGGTTGTATGTATGGAGTTAACTTTTTTTTGTGTGCCAGTTCTGGGTGCTGTCTCTGAGCCTTTTTGCTCAAGGCTAGTGCTCTACCACTTGAGCTGTAGCTTCATTTC